AAAAAAAAAAAAAAAAAAAAAAAAAAGAAAGAAAAGAAAGAAACAGGAGACATATTGACTGGAATAACGGAAGTGAGGGAAGAATGCAGAAGGGCAGATATGGTAAGAAGAGTAGAAGCTCAGTTTAGGGTAGCCTGATTTTTTTTTTTTTTTTTAATAGCTGGGATGGAACTCAGGATCTTGCATGGCAGACAGTGGTACCACTGAGCTAAATCCCCAGCCCTGAATTTTTAATGCCAAGGAAATAAGTGAGATGTAGGCTGGCAGTTGGATTCTTCAGTTTGGAGTTCAGGATAAAAATAATGCTAAGAGACACAAATCTGGGAGGTAACAACATATCATGAATATTTAGAGCTACGCTGATGAAGGGAATGAGTGAGTGACTATAGACGGATGATAGATAGAAGCTGGAGAAGAAGGAGAGGGAGGAAGAGGAGGAGGGTCAGTAGCAGCTGCTGAGCATGGTAGCACCTGCCTGTAATCCCAGTACTCAGGAAAGCTGAGGCAAGAGGATGATCATGAGTTTGAGGCCAGTCTGGTATACATAGTTCAAGGCCAGCCTGAAGTACACAGTGAAATCTTGTCTCAAAAAATAAAGTAAAATAGAGAGAGAGACAGACAGAGAGGCAAGACCTTGTCTCAAAGTTAAAAAAAAAAAAAAAAAACTATACACAAGAGATATGATATAAGACCATAGAGAAAGTTTTCCAGCACGGAAAACTGACTGCTTTACCAGGTGCTACAGTGATAAAAGGTAGGAAGAAAAACCTCTTCAAAATTCCAGGTAAGAGGGCACTGGGGGTGTAACTCAGTGGTAAAGCACTCACCTAACACATGCAAATCCCTGGGTTCAATTCCCACCACCACATGGCTGGAAAATTCCAGGGAAGGACTAGCTATTCTTATTATTAGCTCAGATTACTGCACACTAATATATCTTGTATTCCTGTAAAAGGGAAACTGCTAAAGATGCTGAAACAGTCAAGAAAAGATTTGCCCCAAGTCACAGAAGTAAGATATTAACAGGTCTGGAAATAGATTCTAGCCTTTGGACACACTTTAGCCACAACCTTGCGAGCACCTCAAGTTCTGAAATCTCCATTAAAGTTATAAAAGAAAGGCAATCTGGAGAACAGGTCTAATTGTTACACTTGCTCTAGTCCCAGCTAGGCCTTCCTACTGCTGTTATGGTGATAATATGATGAGTCCATGAAAATCACAAGCCCAGACAAAAAGAAAAGCTGGGGCTTTAAGGATCCCACCCAGAGGTAACAGAAAGTACTATGCAGCTTGCTAAATTGTGTTGAAATCCAAGGTAAAAGTCTTCATAAACTGGAATTGATGTTGTTTCTTGCAGTACTGGGGGTTGAACCCATGGCCTTTGCACTAAGCTACATCCCCTGACAGCCCCCCTACCTTTTTGAGACTTGGTCTTTCTTTTTTTGTTTGTTTATTTTTTGAGACAGGGTCTCACTATGTAGTTGAGACTGACCTGGAACTCACTATGTAGCCCAGGCTGGTATCGAACTCACAGTAATCCTCCTGCCTCCACTTCCTGAGTGCTGGGAATACAGGCGTGTGCCACCACGCTTGGCTTTAAATTCTCATAATATAATAAATGAGCAAAACTGCATCAATGATAAACACCCTAAGGGAGGAAACCTAGAGCCCTGAGTCTTGTGGAGAGAGAAAATACTGAGTGAATTGTGGTGACCCGGAGAAGATCCTCTTCCTTCCTCCTGATTCCATTCTAAGGGAAACAACAATTAAGAAATGGCATTTTCTCACAGGGAAAGCGTCCCTTAAACTATACAAGGGAAGGTCTTGATAGCAAAGCCATCTCCTGTGAAATGCCTCAGTGTTACAAGGCACATGCCAGTGTGGTGGAGCAGGCTCCCAGTGGAAGCCATCTGAGACCATGGGGATAGCCCAGGCAGAGCATAGGGCTGAATTAGGCACAGACCATAGTTTCAGGTTCTTGTTGGAACAGCAGCAAGCGTTAAGGGTGTGATTTGTTTGATTGTGTTTGTTTTTTGAGACAGAGTTTGCTATGTTTAAACTAGCCTCACAAAATAGCTTTAGGCTGGCCTTGAACTCACAGCAATCTTTTCTTGCCTCAGTTGTCTGGAGTGCTGCAATTACAGATGTGTGCCACCACACCCGGCTCAGAGGAGTAATTTTTTACTTTTTCCTTTATCCCAGAACTGCTTCAGAAAAATATGTGTAGTATTGTCAAATCTGTAATTTTATTTAAGACTGTTCTGCAAAAATAAGAGGTGTTGGAGAAAGCCTTACGTTTCTTTTTATTTTTTTGTATCTAGGAAATTACAGTGTTTCTTTCCAGTAAATCACCTAGAAAACTTTTTTTTTCCTTCTATGGGGAACTTTTCAAGTAATACTGATGCTTGATTCCCCACACCCACCTAATTAAATCAAAACCTCTAGGGATTCGTGTTTTTCTAAGCTTCCAAGATTATTCTGTTTACTTATAGCTTCATACTGATGTATTAAAGAGGTGAAAAGATGTTTTTAGCCTGATTAGTGGGGCTTATGCGCATGCCCACCGTTATACAGTCGGTATAACCGCGCTCACTGGTGACATTTCTCCAGCCCCAAATTTGTACTCCTACAGTCAGTGAGAAACGAGGCCGATGTCCCTTTCTGTCCCTTGAAACAATCCTCTAGCTGGTTCGGACGCAGGGACCGGGCCTGTGGCTGGCGCGGGGCTTTAGGCCCTGGTGCTGTGGCAGCGCCCGGAAGGCTACAGAGATTTGGTCCAGGCCCCGCCCCGGCTTCTAGGGGCCCCACACCGCGGTGGTCCCACAGCGCCGCCTGCGGCGGAGAGACACGACTACATCTCCCACAATGCACCCCGGGGGCGGGCTGGGCCGGACCGAGAGGCAGAAGTCAGGCCTGAACTACAAGAGACGGTCGGGAGCTGTCTTGCTGCGCCGGCGGCCGGCGACGGCCGGTAGGAGGAGTCCGTGCCTGCACTGTGGCCATGTCTGTGTCCGCCAGGGACCGGGGACCCGCAAATCTCTACCCTCAGGCTAAGCCCGGCTGGACACCCTTGTCTTCCCAGGGGTCTGGCAGAGGACAGTGACTGGCACCTCTCGTGGGCCTGGTGTCCGTCCCCCCAAAAGAAATAGGTGAGTCCGACTTCCAACCCACGTGGCCTAAGAACTCAGGCAGGAGAGCTGTCATCCTTGGAGGGAGGGGCTTGAAGACTTGGGGTCCCTATCACCTACAGCACCATTTGCAATAGGAGGCCTGGATCTCCCAGGATCCCCAAGCCGGCTGGCTCCCTAGCTAGGGAATACAAAAGATGAGGCCTAGAAGCCACCTTTGGCTAGGTGGGTGGTCAAGATCCTGTAGGAGACAGGGGCTAGGTAAGATCCACACCCTTCAGTGCATTCATACTGGGTCTTTAGAGTCCTCAGAAAACAACAGAGGTGCTGGAATGTGAGACAGGAAGCTCTTGGAAGGGTCCTGGGATTTGGGACTTTGTTCTCAACTATACTGTAACTGTTAGATAACTGGGTTGCCCCTTTCTAGGTTCATGTTTGCCTGAACAGTGGGACCAGCCTCTGCCAAAAATCACAAGGGCTATGCTAGGCTTTCAGCACAGAGTAGGCACCCTGCTGAAGCAATCACAGCACACCTCACCAGGTTCCTGTCCTGCCACACATTGTGCATCCTAGCACCACCCTCCAGATAGCCTATTCCCCAAATAGTCAAGGCAGGGTGAAGCACTGTTCAAGCAGGAAGAAGAAGCAGGGTAGTTAGGAGCCAGCAGGGAAGCGTTCTTGCAATGCTCTGCCTACTCCAGAACTACCTGACACACCAGAAGGGCTGACTGTGCCTACCTGTTTGGTGACATTGTCTCAAGCCCAGTTGGGCACTTCTAGAAAAGTAGCAAGCCCTGAGGGCACCTAGAGGGGCTGCCTGAAAAGCCAGAGAGCCATATGGGGATGGTTTGGAGACCTCTCCTCCTGCTTCAGGCTGAGCTTACAGGAGCTTCGGCTGCACAGGTTGAGGGTCCAGTGGAGATTGGGATGTACTTTGCTATGATGCACTCAGTCTTCCTGCCTGAGTTTCTAGGGTATCCAGAAAGCTGTTTGCTTCTTCAGGCCTTTTGGCTACAACTCCACACTGGCCTTAAAGAGACTGAGATGGTGCCTGATCTCATAAGGCAGGGGAACTGTTGTTAAAGAATTATGCACTAGTCCCAGACAGCTGACCCTGCCTCCTAACCAATGGAGGTACAAAGTTGGGTACACTCAGATATGCTAGACTCAGTCAGCTAAAGCTCACTAGGGATCAGGCTGCTGTAGACTTTATTTGGATTTTGTTTTGTTTTGTTTTTTGCTTGTGGTATTAGAGATTAGACTTAGGAGCACTTTACCACTGAGTTATATCCCCATCCCTCTTCATTTTTTATTTTGAGACAGCATCACTAAGTTGCCAAGACTGGTGTTGAATTTGTGATCTTCCTACCTAGCCTCCCAAGTAATTGGGATAACAGGTGTGTTATCTACTACTGTGTTTTTTCCTTGTTTGGATCTTTGATCCAGAAGTGCAAGGCCATAGAGGAGGGACATTTTGCAATTCAAGGAACTAAACTTGGGAGAGACTTCCAGGAGTAGCAGAAAGCTAGTGATCTGTTTCTGAAATGCCAAGGGCCTATAAGAAGCCAGGTAGCCTGGTGGTACTCCCATCCTAAGGCCCATAGACAGCTCTTTTAGCCTGTTCTCATAGGTAGGCCACTTCATCTAGAGCCCTCCTGGCTTCACAAGGTCACAGCCAAACACCCAGGCCATTCATCCAGGATCTGTCTCAGGCAGAGCAAACTCTCAAGACTGACTGACGTGACAGAGACCATAGGATCTGTGTGTAAGTGTTGTTACGTGGTCTGAATGCTAAGTAAGAATAATCATTAGTTGAGTATGGTGGTGCACGGTTATAATCCTAGCACTTGGGAGAGTGAAGCAGGAAGATTGCCCTGATTTGCAGGCCCTCCGGGGCTACATAATGATTTCAAGGCCAGCCTGAACTATATAGTGAAAACCTGTTTCAAAAAAACCAAACCTAAACAAAACAAAACAAAAACATATGTTAATCATTGCTGAGTGTATAAACACCTGCTTTGTGTCAAGGTAACCAAATCCCATGTATTATCTCATTTAATCCTTGTACAATCCAATGAATCAGTACTATCATTAACCCCAATTTATAGATGAGAAAACTAAGTCCAATAAAACCAAGTCTACCTGACTGCAGAGCCATTACTCCTAAGTACTTGACAACCACCAAAGACAAGTCTTCATAGGCAGGGTTTTCTTTCTTCATCACAGGTGTGCTGTAGCTAGGTGTTCTTCACATCTTTCAATTTCTCCCTCCCAAAGATGTTTATTGGGCAAATGCTGATTGAACTACTGCATGTGGCTCTGATATAGGCTGAAATTTATAGCAAGTTACAGAGTAACTTTCAGCTCAGTGAAGTAAACCAGAGTAAGCAGGACTGTTGTAGGAAACCACTTTGGTAAGGCAACACTTAAGAAGCAACCTAGAGGAAAGAGGAGGAAGGCACACACTGGCCCAGGCAGGAAACTATGTGACATGGGGTCGGGGGTAGGGGGACTGTTCATGGAGGGCAGGGTGGAAAGTAAAGGAGTGTTCAGGATACTTAGGGAAAGCTGCAGAGGCCCACAGGACTGGGCTGAGGCAGAATTAATGAGGAGAAAGGATAGAAAATGAGGCCAAATGAGAACCAGTCATGGTCGTGGTGGCACATCCTGTAATCCCAGTGCTTTTGAAGGTTGACAAAGAAAAATTGCAAGTTCAAGTCCACTCTCAGTAACTTGGAGACTTAGCAAGGCTGTCTCAAAATTAAAAAACAAAAATGGGATCTGGGCATGGTGGTACATGTCTGTAATCCCAGCACTCAGGAGGCTGAGGCAGGAGGATTACCATGAGTTCGAGGCCAGCCTGTGCTACATAAGTGATTCAAGTCCAGCCTAAACTACATAGTCAAGCATTGTCTCACAAAGCAGGGCAGGGCGCCATGCACGGTGGCGGATGACTATAACCCTAGCATGTAGGAGGTTGAGGTATGACGTTTGTCTAGAGTTTAAGGTTTGAGGCAGCCTGGGCTACATAGTGAGCTCAAAGCCAACCTGAACTGCATAGCGAGACCCTGTCTCAAAAAAAAAAAGGAGGACCAGGATTTAGCTCAGTGGTTCCAGTGCAAGCCTGACAGGCGTAAGGTCTGTGGGTTCAGTCCCCTGTGCCACCAAAAAAAAAGAGACAGAGAAAAGGGGAGAGCATATTGAGTAAGATCTTGTGCAACCCCGTGAGAAATCAGCTTTCTTCCTAAGTAAAGTGGGACATTGCAGAGTTATGAGCAGAGGAATTACATGACCTGATTTCTGTCTCAAGATTACTTTGTTTGTTTTTGTTGTCGGCGGTGTTTTTTTTTTTTTTTTTTTTT